TCAGGATGAGTCAGGCTCTGGGGGACTGCCCTACCCCCAGGTGCCCTTGGCACACAGCTCCTGCCGCAGCTGCCCCTGATAGGAAGTCCCTGCCCCCCCCCCCCCAACCAGGGTGCCCTGGCTCTCAAGATGTGTGGCAGGGTGGTGCTGTGGAACGTGCCCCATTCACCCTCCACATTGTCAGTCCCCTCCTGCTCCCCGCTCCTGGCATCTGGGTCAGTCTCTCTGTGACTTTTCCCTACCCTGGGCCAAGTTGGGGCTGGAATGGCTCAAACCTGAGCCACTTTGCCCTCTTCTTAGGGGACTAAGGTTTGCAGCCTGTTTTCTTTCTCTCTTTTAAATTTATCTGCACCACATGCCATGTAGGATCTTAGTCTTTCGGTCAGGGATGGCCCCAAAATTTAAAACAACCACCTCCACAAAGCACCAAGTCTGAACATAGCCCCAAATTGATAAATCTCCAGCTTGTCTAATAAGGAAAGAGAAAAAACACAAATTATCAGTATCAGTGGATATCACCACAGATCCTGCAGACATTTAAAGGATAATAAGAAGATATTATAAGTGACTTTGGCCAGTAATTTCAGCATGAATGGAAATTTCCTTGATAGACACTATATAATAAGATTGACTCAAGAAGAAAGAGGAAATCTAATGAGCCTCTTACCTAAAACCTCACAAAGGAAAGCTTCAGGCCAAGATGAATTCTTATCATATGTTTAAAGTAGAAATAACACCAATCTTGCACAACACTAATTTTATTTGTGAAAGTGTTATTCCTGGCTAAAGGATTTCAAGCGTTATGAAACAGGTTAGTCAGGCTCTGTTTGGGGCAGGGCTGTTTTTGAGAACCCCTGAAGTCCTGCCTCCATGGCGCCTTCCTCCTGCGGGCTCTGAGGAGGGTGAGAGCGGGGATGGGGCTTTCGTGTGGAAGCCTGGGCTGGGGTCAGAAATGTGGGGCACCTCCAGGAACGGACAGGTAGGCTGTGGGGAGGACCCCAGTCCAGGCCAGTCCCTGCCCTGCGGCCACCAGTGTTGTGAGAATTTGACTCTTCTGGAGTTGGTGAGGAGAGTAAGTTGGCGAAGAGTTCATGAAGGTGATCTAGTCTCAGTTCGAGGCTATGCCCGGAGGGGGTCCGGGAGACACCCCCTCGCAGAGAGGGGCTTGAGGAAGGGGGCCGATGATGAGTAGGAATGACCACAGGCCTGTGTCCCGGGCCCAGAGGAGTGGCAGAGCCCGGTCACCTCAGAAGGTGGCCTTGAGGAGGTGGCCTTTGAGCTGGCATCCAGACTGGCCAGAGGGTGGGCCTTCTTTGCGGTTATCAGAAGGGACAGGACTTGAGACGAAGGGTCCAGGGTGTGGACAAGGCCAGTGTGGATGGGTTACAGGGAGTGGGCTGGGCCTGGGGAGGCTGTGAGGGGAATGCTGTTGTCCGCAGCTTGTCCGGAGGGTGTGGGGACCAATGAGAGCTTTGAGAAGAGCACAGGCTCCATCCATGTGGATGGACAAGGTGCAGAGGGAGGTAGGGGAGAGGGATTAGAAAGACGAGAGAACGCAGCAGGGCGCGGTGTTCTCCAGAGCGGAGCGGGGTAGCTGTGGGCTTGGCTGCGGTGGGGACCATGGGTGCGGGATAGGACATGGGGTTGGAAGGAGGGGGAAGAGTGGGAGTTTGGGGAAGGTGTGTGTCGGAGAGGCTAGGCAGTGAGTTGGATTTAAGGGTCTGGGGGCGAGTGAGGAGTCTGTAGATCCCCTGGGATGCCTCGGGCTGTCTGCCTGCACACCCTTGGTGTCCTCCAGGGCGTGGACCTAGGCCCAGGCTGGCTGTGACTGGTCTAATCGCACATGGCCAGATCTGATCTGCCGGGGGGAGCGTGGCAGAAGTGACTGAGGCCAGAGCTGTTTTTAGAAACTAAGTGCCTCTCCCATCTCCTTGGCAGGAATGCAGGGCTGGGTTCAGGAAGAGCTTGATCCAGACCCACAGCCAGTGCTGACATGTTCTGTGACCCTGCGCCAATCTTTCCTTTCCCTAATGGCCATTTGTCAGCTTCCCCCGTGGGGTGGGTTGAATTGAGGACTTAAAAGGTGGCGGCCCTGTGAGTGCTTCAGTTCTGAGGGTTTTCGAGAGTCTCCCAGGCTGAGTGGACCATGAGGCTGGTCGGTGCCTCCTATCACCTTGCCAAGTGCTGCGAGCGCTGCCTTGTGAGCCAGGCCAGGGTCTCCCCGAAGCCATTCCCTTGTCATAGACATTCACTGTGCTACCCGAGTTGCCTTTGAGCGGGCGGCTGCAGCACACCTTTGTGTGGCCTGTTCACTTGTTCACCCGCTCCCACCCACCCCCAACACACATGGGTACCATTCCTGAGTCCCTGCCCTCACACAGCATCCCGACCAGAGGAGGCTTCTTTGGCCTCCGCAGCCTGCACCACTGCCGCAGCCGCCCACCAGACTGCAGGGCATTTTCTGTAAATGTCATTTAGGTCGTTGGGTGTTCTCTCACTTATTAATGAGTAACTTGGCCTTTGCCGAGACACTCGAGCGTCTCCGGGATCCCAGGAGGGTGGTGACAGACATGCTGCTGAGTTTATTCTTGCTCGGGGGCTAGGAAGCGGGCATGGGGTTTGCAAAGGACTGGCTTCCAAAGGCTGTTCCCACAGCGCCCCAACCTCTGCCCTCAGTTGGCCCAGGTTAACAGAGCCCGCGGGGAAAGAAGCCTTGCTGGGGGCTTGGGGAAAGCCGAGCCTTTGCTGTTCTCTCACCTCTGTCCTTGCTGTCCGGGGGTGTGTGTGTCCCCATCACCTCCTTCCCTGAGGCAGGACCTCCGGCCATCTGGGAGTTCATTGGCTGGCAACTAGGAAGGAGTTTGAGTGTCCTGGCTTCTGGCTTGTGTACGTGTGTTCTAAGTCTCTTTCAATCATGTCTGACTCTTTGCAGCCCTTTGGACTGTAGGCTGCCAGGCTCCGCTGGCTTGTGTAATCACTAGCACTTGTCAGGGAGGGGTGTCCGCAGGCGGGAAGCCACATGGGGAGCCCTGACTTCTGTCTTAGTTAAGAGTTTATACTCTGCTCTCCCATCTCTTTGGCCATCACCAAACCTGCTTCTGCCTCGTCAGCAGGCTCCTGGGAGAGGCTTCTGGTCCTTCTGCCTGTAGTTCCTTCCCCCTCAGTCTCCTCTGGCTCCCGTTGCCTAAGAACACTGGCCAGAGCCCTGTGTGACCGCCCCCACCTGCCTTGACAACCTTACCTTCATGTATCTGCTCCAACCACCTGTGTGTTCTTCAGAACACACCCACTCAAGCTCAAGCTCAAGCTAGGTCCCCTCTGGGAATGCCCTTCCTGCTCCTATGACACCTGCATTCTGCCCACCCCTCAGTAGGAAGGTAGGAAGCCCCCCGCCCCCCAACCCCACAGACCCATGTTGACCTCACTCATGTAGCTGCTGCCATTCATTCCTGCCGTCTCCTTCCCAGGAGATTGAGCCACCTGGATTGAGAGCCAGGTGTTCACGTTGCAGAAACCTTTCTCTGGTCCAGACCTCCCAGCCGGGGTTGGTGGCACAGTCTGGTGGCTTCCAGGGTCTCCACGACAAATACTGGCAGGAAGTGACTCATAATGCAAGTGCCACCCTCGGGGAGGCCGTTGTCAGTAGCATAAACAAACTTCTAGGAGAGGTGACCCAAGCAGCTATTTTACTTGGACTTTATATGTTCTTCCCTCCCTGGCAGCAGGTTCGCCGTTGCAGGGGCTTCCAATTGTCTCCTCAGAACATGCTCCAGCGAGTCAAAGGCAGATCACAGCTGGTAATCAGGGGCACAAGGACTCCCTCTGGAGGGCCAGCCCTGGTGAGCAGCGACACCTCACTCAGGGCTGTGTCCCAGGGCCTCTCAGGGACAGGCACTCGGGGTGGGGGCCTGCGTATGCGAGAGCATGCTCCGTGTTCACTCGTCTGCAGGCAGGTCTGATCCAGCTGCCATGGTCATGTGGTAAGGAAGGAAGCCCAGGAAGATATTTCCTGCTGCAGGTAGAAACAGCATGGGGGTGACTTTCTGCCGTGGCCCTCGGTGTACCTGGAGAACAAGCGTATTCCATCAGGGTTGAGATGAACATGGCTTCTCTAGACCTGCAGAGAGGTTGGGGAGGATGGTGGTGTGGGGGAAGGCAGTCCAGGCATGCCAAGGAAGATAAAAGAACCAGATTTAGGAATTTCCCTGGTAGGCCCTTCGCTGAGACTCCACGCTCCCAAGGCAGGGGTCCAGGTTCAACCCCCGGTCAGAGAACTAGATCCCACGTGCTGCAACCAAGAGTTCACATGCATGCCATGGCAAAGATGGAAGATCCCATGTGCTGCAACTAAGACTTGTCACGGCCAAATAAATACTTTTTTTTTTTAAAGAACCAGATTTAGAAGAAATTGTTCCCATGAAAAGTTCAAATCAGTTCCCCTCCTCTCTGCCCCCCTTAATACATTGCAAGAATGAACTTGTACAAGCCTCGTCCTAACTTGAGTGATGCTTCTCCTGCAGGGAGCCAGATAGGTATCTCTGGAGAAGCCTCTGGCCTGGAGGGGCTTCAGGAGGCCTCAGCTTTTATCCTGCCCTGGCTCCTGGTGACTCATCTTTGTTCTGTCCCTCCCGAGTCCTGAGGGTGGCTCCATCCAGACCCATGAGGGTGGCTGGTGGCCTGCCAGCGTGGGCGCTCCTCGACCCTGACCAGCATCATGTTTCAGCACCCACCACCTTCCAGCTCTTCCTGCACATGCACCCTGAGGGCTACCCTGGGTCTGGGCCTGGGCTGGGGTCAGGGGCTTTAAATTCTCCTGGCGGAGCTGAGTGGTGGAAGGGCGGCTCCAGCATGGTGCCTGTCAGCTACAGCAGGCGTGGGCTTGGCTGGAACCACAGGCTGGTCCTCGCCAGGCCGTCCTGTTCTCCGTTAGCTGCCTGGGCAGCGTGGACTGGAAGGAGGGGTGTTCTTCTGAGCAGTGGTTTCTCTCCCTTGCTTTGCAGGACAAGGAAGATGGGGAGCCAAGCACCAAGCAGCTCAGAGAAGGGGAGGAGGAAGGCGAGAAGCACAGGTAAGGCCTGCACTCAGCTCTCGTCCCGGACCTGTCGGCTTCCACATCATCCCAGCGGCGTTCGGTCTCTGTCCTGTTGCTGCCTCTCCTGTTGCTACCCCGTGGCCCCCTTGTTCAGCCAGGACGGTCCTATTGTCGGAACCTTTTCTGTACCCTTGCCCTCATTGGCTATCTGCCTCTCGGCCACCGGCCGTTTTTTTAGCCACCGGACCTCCTCACTCTCTTCTAAAATACTTGGGGTGACATGGTTCTACAGCAACCCCAGAATCAGGTCCAGACTCTCCTTGCTGTGCCAAGCTCCGCTTCAGCCATCAGCCTGGGTTCCTGCTCACTGTGAGGACTGGGTCTTTTTTCCCCCTAATATTGGTTTATTGGGCTGCACTGGGTGCTAGTTGCGGTATATGGGATCTAGAGCCCCGTGACCAGGGATTGAACCCCGGGCCCCCTGCACTGGGAGTGCGGAGTCTCAACCGCTGGACCACCAGGGAAGTCCCCGCGACTGAGGCCCTGAGAAAGCTTATCCCGGTGAGCTGTGCTTTGAGGGGGTGCAGCAGGAGGGGAGGGGTGCCCCCCAGAGAAAGCTGGGCCGGCGACTTCCCGACGCCGCAGCCTGCCCTGGCCTCCTCCGCCGGGGTGAGTGGAACCCTCCCCGGGGACCAGCGCCTCGCCTGCGCCTTTGTGTTCAGGCGCCGATCTCAGACGAGATGGGGCCTTTTCAAGCCCACAGGGGTGCATGTGTGTCTGCACGTGTGTGACTTCACACTTTGCAAAGTGTGTTCACACCATCCTCACGGAAGCCCTGTGGGGTTCTCACCACCTCCCTTGTTTTCAGAGGTGGCGACGGCCGTGCGCTGAGGAGGCTGGTGATGCTCCTTGCTGGTGCAGGGACCCTGGTCACCCCAGCTCTGGGCTCCGTGGTTTCTCGGTGGGCCTCAGCTCCCCAGCACGTTGTGCACCCCTCACTGGTGACAGAGACGAAGGCCAGGTTGTTGCTTTTTTTTTTTTGCCAAGTGACCACAGGCTCGGGGGCTTGGCAGTGGGTGCCTGCACAGTTTCCCCCTTTCTGTGGTAACTGCTGAGAGACCCTTAGGTTTCCCTCTGGTTTGTCCTCAGGTTTTTGATTGCTGGCTGGAGCCTGAGTCATTTCTCAGATCCGGTCGTCTGTGCACATACAGTGCAGGGTCAGGGGTGGCGGCTGAGGAAATGGGAAAGTCCAATAGGACTGGAGGCAGGCACCCCAGTGCCTCATCCCTCACCGGCCTTGCTGGGGAATCACCCACCTTCCTCTCTGCCCGTGCTCCAGCCCATCTGTCCGAGGAGACCTTTTTGAAATCGTGGCTGTTTTAGTTCCTTTGGCTTTCCTTGTAAATTTTAGAGTCAGCTTGTTAACATCTACTTGAAAAGCTTGCTGAAGGTGACAGAGTAAATCGTGACCGAGGGGGACAGTGACACGCTGTGGACACTGGGAGAGGAAGGGGGTGCTTTTTGGATGAGGTACCCCACCCCCCGTTGTCTTAACCCAGTCCTGAGTGGCACCGTCTGTGGGTAGTTCAGAGAGGGTGGAGGGGACATACTGCCTCATGTCAGTTCCTCTTAAAATTTCAGACTGTCGTCATCATCTAAGCACATGTGTCTATTATTACCTACTTATTAAGAATAATGATAAGCTAATATAAATAAATAAAAAGTTTGCTAGAGTTTCAGTTTGTATTACATGGAATCTATAGCTCAGAATATCTTGAAAACATTTTTTTTTCTTACTCTCTTCAGGATACATCCAGCCCCATTCCCTTACAACCAAATCCCCATTTAGTGAGAGTCTGTTCCCCAAAGGCCAACCAGGCGCTATGTGAAGGAAAGACATGTTCCCACCCCCAGGAGGACCCCCGCTTCTCCTCTGGGCTGGGTCTTTCCTCTCCCAGCCCTCCTTCCCCCGTGCTTGCCGCCTGGAGAAGAGGTGATCTGGCAGCCCTGGAAACCTGGCCACATAAAGGGACACTCATGTCAGTTGCTTGTGTTTTTCGTAAGCCCTCAGTCAGTTCCTCCTGATGGCAAGTCGGCTGGTGTGTGCCGTGGAGGTATGTCGAGGGTAGGGCTTATGGCCGACAGGCATGGCCACCCAGGCAGGTGGGGGAAAACGGGTGGCGTTGCACACTCCGTTGGGCCCAGGGCAGGGGAGCGTGTCCTGTTGAGTGTCTGAACAAGCCAGCCCCAAACCCTCAGTCCCCACAGCCCTGGCTTAAGATCGTGGTCAGCACCCAGCCAGAGCAGTCACCTCTCAGGGATGGCGGTTCACCCTGGGTGAGCATCATGTACCGCAGAAGGAACTAGGCCACTCACCTTCCCTCTTGGGGATGGAAAACCGGTTCTCCAACTCCCATGTGGAGAAAGGTCCCAGCCCAGCTGAGGCCCGGCCCAGCTGAGGCCCAGTGCCCGAGCCCTTTAGGCTGGTCAGTGCCAGGCCTTCTCCCACCCGCCAGTTGGGTCCCCAGAGTGGTGGCTGTGCACCAGGGCGTCTCACAGACCGGTGATGTGAGCTTGATTCAGCAGACATTTCTCCACTGAGCAGTGTGGCAGTGGAGCAGTGAGGACCAGAGCAGCCCCCTCCCGCAGCCCCCAAGAGACGTCATCCCTCCCCAGGACTCGCCGGGAGGCACGTAGGAGGCTGTCCTCTGGCTGGCCCCCCCCGGCCCACCCTGCCCCTCGGTGTGTGACGGGCACACCTCTGCCACGTTGTGGGCCCCTTGCCCCCTGCGTGGGCAGTACTTCGAGAAGCCCCTGTAGGCCGTGCATGTGTCTGCGGGGCTGTTCATCCCCATCTGCCCTCGGGACAGTCTGCCTTTGTCCCATCCTGGCAGGCAGAGAGCACTCAGGGTTTGGGAGGGGGCTTCCAGGGCAGCAGGGGGGCTCCTGGGAGGGCTGACCCCTGCTCTCCAGGGCACCACTCTGTCCAGTGTTGATGTCCACAGTCCGTGTCATCCACAACCTCAAGAGAAACGATATCCTTGATTTTCCTGTGGAGCCCAGTGAAAGCATGAGCCTTTCCATCCTGTCTCAGAAGCATCAGAGCTGGGATTTGGGCCCAGGCTGGTGGCTCAGATGGTAAAGAATTTGTCTACAATGAGGGAGACTCGGGTTCGATCCGTGGGTCAGGAAGATCCCCTGAAGAAGGGAACAGCTACCCTCAGCATTCTCGCCCGGAAAATCCCATGGACAGAGGAGCCTGGCGGGCTACAGTCCGTGGCATCGCAAAGAGTCGGACACGACTAAGTGACTTTCACTCTTTCACTTTCACAGTGTTCGTAGAATAGGGCTCTTTTCACCCCCTCCTCTGAGCAGCTACTTCATTCTAAAATGGGGGTTACAAACAATTTCTAAAAACGTGAAATTGGAGTAGCAGAACCAGTGTGTGGCTCTAGTGGCCTCCAGAAGAGTGAATTTCCCACCCCCACTTTTTTTTTCAATTTAAGATGCAGAAGGGGGAATTCAACCTTGGTCCTTTGTTAGAAAGGCTAGATCCTAGAGCAGCACCAAGTGCCCTGTGAACTCTGTCCAGAGACTTTGGCCATTTGGCAGTAGTCAGGGTGGGGCGGGAGGAGCAGTTAATTGGACATCCGTGTGGGTCAGTCTCCTCATTAGCGCTCAGCTGAGTGAATCAGGGCTTGAACCGCGCTCCACCCAAGCAGGCCTCCTTGTTTACAAGTGTGGAAATTGGAGCTCAGGACTGGGTAGTCCCACAGAGACTGGGCCCCAGGTGTTCTTGACTGCGTGACCAGCGCTCAGCTCTAGGGGAGGACAGGGAACGGTGGGTGGCTCGGCTGCTAGGTGGGTGGCCTTGGAGCGGCCAGCCCACCAGCTGATGCTGCTCTTGCCTGTTGCCACTGGCCCCTCCCTGTCCCCCGCTGTGTCCCCATCATACCAGCCTGTCTTCTGAAGCCTGGGCACCAGGGGGTGCTGGGGGTGTGGGTGCTGTGGGCTTGGGGTTCAGCTCCCACCAGACTCTCCTCTCTCCTCCTCATCTCAGGACCCTGGACCCTGGAGCCAGTTTCTGAGAGCGGCAGGGGTTTTTTTATTCTCACTAATCCCTGCAGTTTTCTTCCCACACCCAGTTTCTCTTCCGCTTTTCTCCCCACCCTGTTATAAATGAAAGCCAGCGTTACCGATCCTGCCCCACTTTCTCCCCCAGTGCTTCAGTGACCTGGCATTTACCTCCAGGCCTGAGGCAGGCATTAGGGGATGGGGTTCAGGGCGGTGTCCCTGCTCCATAGAGAAGGCAGACCCTGGGGGTAGGCAGCAGGCTTCTTCCACACCAGCCTGGCTGGTACGGCCCCGGGACATGGGGGTTTAGCCAAGCCCCAGGACTGCAGGCTGTGGGGGCTCTGGCAGAGGGCAAATGAAGCTGGTGAACAGGGGACTGATTTGGCGTCACAAAAGCCCCGAGTTGAGACCATGCCCCTTGCTGATTTGTGTAGCCACACACACCTTCTGGACCCCTTCACTTGAGCTTGCCTGTGCCGCAGCTGGAGAAACCAACCACGTTTCCCTGGCACGGACACAGGGTCCCCTAGATGAGAGACTGCAGGAGGCCTCCTGTTGGGGAAGTGTTCCCAGGACTTCCAAGGGGCCAGCAGTGCAGGGAGGGCTCAGAAGAGCTGAGGAAGAAGGACCCACATCTAGTCCCATCTGGCTGACAGGTTGCGGGGGGGCACCTCTGCCTCCCCCAGGGCGTGGCGGGTCTGGCCCAGTGTCTCTGTCGTGCTTTTATTAAACAGCAGCTCCCAGGACCTCTCTCTCTCTGCTGCCCTGTGGAGTTGGCCGAGGGCCCGGCCCATGTGCGGCTGCTGTGTGTGGAGGTTGGCATTGGATGAGCCGCTGAGCCAGGGAGGCCTCCGGGGAGCACTTGGTACAGCCCGCCCTGCCCGAGGAGATGCGCGGAAAACAACTCCGAGGTGGTGGCCAATCCCAGAGTGCGATTCTGGCTCCTCGTGGCCGCTCCCTCTTCATAGAGGTCACGGGGTCGGCCCTGCTAGATTTTCAAGCCCTCGTGCAGGCGTGAGGTGTGTGAGCTTCTCATGGCCGTCCAGGCGGATCGTGGCTTTCCCCGCCTTTCCCTTCCCACTGCCATGCCTATTCCCCAGCCCTGACTGGCTACTCCCAGCACACCAGACCCTTGCCACATGTGTCTGAGGCTCCGGGGCATGAAGACTGTGAGTAGGAAGCGGGCTTGGGGAACCAGTGGGTGACCACTGGTTTCCCTTTTAGGAGTAACTCAGCCCAAGAGCTCTGGGCCTTGCTTGGAGTCGTAGCTTCCTTGTCTCATGCTGCAACCACTGCTGTGTGACCCTCTAAAACTGGTGCAAACTCTCTGACCCTCAGTTCCCACAGCTGTCCAGTGGAGATAGTGCTGGAGAGACAGAGTGAATGCTCTCCGGGTACCCCTGGCCCCAGCTCTGTTCGAGTACCTACATTGCACGGGGGGCTTTGGGAGAGCATGCAGCCCGGCTGCTAACGGGAAGATGAGAGGCTGAGGCTCAGAGATGCTTCTATCCCCATGCTGTCCACCTGCCCCAGGTCATCTGCAGAGAGAGCAAAGTCGGGAAGTAACCAGCTCTTGTGTCTTCATCTCATGCCAGCCTGCAAGTGTAAGAGATGAACGAGACTGTGTCCCACACGCACTTTACTTCCTCTCTGCTTGTTCTCGCTGCCCTTTAGGGAACTCAGGCTGCGGAACTACGTCCCAGAGGATGAGGACCTGAAGAAGAGGAGGGTGCCCCAGGCCAAGCCAGTTGCGGGTAGGTGGGCTCTGTGGCCCTGTCGGCCGCCTCCTCCTTGGCACGCGTCACCCTCTCCTGGAGAATAACTGGCAGTGCCTGGGCTGGAAGCTGGGCCTCTGGGACCCTCCATCACCGTCTCACGGCGGGTGGACAAGTAGCAGCAGTCAGGGCACTGAAGCAGCCTGTCACACCTGCTTCGCCCTGCTCACACCCTGCCTTGCAGGCAGACATGGCCCTTGGCTCTTGGACAGCAGGAACAGGAGGATGGGTCCTCTGGGCCCTTGGAGGGTCAGAGAGACCCTGAAGAGGGGCTGACCGTCCAGGTTCCTGGAGAGCAGTGGGCAGGCAGACACCCGCCCAGCTCTGGGAGTGGCAGTGCTGGGGCACAAACGGTGGGGAGAAGTGTTCTCGCTGATGGGCTGAGGGGCCTGGCCCAGTCACCCCTGGATGGGAAGCGTCTGGCCAGCTGCGGCCTGTCCACAGCCATCCATGTGGGGGATGCTGGGTGCTTCTTATCATGCAGATCCATGACTCTGGCTTGGTTTTTATTCTTTGATTTTTAATTTTAATAATTAATAAGTACACTTATCCTATGAAAGAATAAAAGTGTTAGCTACTCAACCACACACCCCCCCCCAGTCTGCTTCCCCATCTCCTTGGGCCCTGAGAGCACAAATCTAATCCTCCAGAGCTGCCTTAGCAAGGTCTTTGCCTCTAGGGAGTTAGGGGCTGAGGGGAGAGGCAGGGGCAAGAAAGCGCAGGCTCCCCTGGGGACCCGCGGCTGCAATTGGCCACATCCACATCCGGGAGTGGTGGCAGGTTTCCGACCGTCATCCGTTGGTGTCTTGCGCCCTCTAGTGGAAGAGAAGGTGAAGGAGCAGCTGGAGGCCGCCAAACCAGAGCCGGTCATCGAGGAAGTGGTGAGTGCCTGGCGGTGGCCCTGTCCTCCTCTGCTGCTTCCGCGGGTCCTTTTCCCCTTCCCACCTGCTCTCCTCACTCACCCTACCTTCCCCTCACTTCTTTCTTCCCTTTCTACCTCCCTGCTTCCCCTCAGCCCTCTCCTCCCCTCTTCCTACCTCTGTCCCCCGTCTTCTCCTGAGCCCCTCCGGCGTTGACACGTGTCTGCTCCCTCCCAGGACCTGGCCAACCTCGCACCCCGGAAGCCGGATTGGTGAGTGTTGCCCGTGTGGGACCAGTGTAGACTGCGATGTTCTTGGTGTCCGGCATGGGCTCGCAGTGGGAGGCAGGCAGTGGAGACAGACAGCCGTGGGGTATAATTACGGTCTGACGTCTGTGCTGAGAAAGATGTAAGTGGAGAATGAGGGGCATGGCAGGGCATGGACCCCTGACGGTGGGGCGGGGCTCAGGCAGAGGGGGTTCAGCAGTCCCCTCCAAAAAGTCCCTTCTGAAAGGATGAGGGCCCTCCGCGCCTCAGAGAGCTCCATCTGAACAAGGCTGACCTTTGTCCTCGGGGAGCTGTAAGGTGGAGGCAAGATGGCGGGAAGGGCAGGGGTAGGCTTTGCCCCACTTCTGCCACCAGCTAGCCTGTCCGCCTTTGATCCCGGTTCCCTCTTCTGTGAAATGGGAATCTTCACTGTCCTGGAGGCCCTGTGAACTGAAGGTGTTCTAATTTGATGAGACAAAGGATGGGGCGCGTGTGCTCGGAAACCCCGAACCAGGGGGAAGAGGCTGTGTGTGCACGTGTGGAAGTTCCTGGGGGTGAGGGAAACTGGGGCCAGAGGCCGAGCAGGACCCCCATCGGGCCAGGGCGCGTCACTTCCTGACGGAGACCAAGGGGAACAGACCGAGGGGGGCCCTGGGAACCATCTGGCCTGCATGCCTTGGCTCAGCCCCCTGGGTTGGGCGGGTCATGGTGCTAGCCCCTGCCTCCCTGGGGCTGCGACGGGTGGCTGCTGCTGGGTTTTGGAGGATACAGAAAGGGAGAGAGGGGCACCCTGACCTCAGGCACACCACTGTGGTTCCTAATGCCAGAGGGGCTGTCGGAGGTGAGGGAGCCCCAGGGCCACACCGGGCCAGCCTTCAGCCTCCGCCTCTTCCCGCCTCCCTGCTCCAGGGACCTCAAGAGAGATGTGGCCAAGAAACTGGAGAAGCTGGAGAAGCGGACCCAGAGGGCCATCGCTGAGCTGATCCGTAAGTGCGGGGCCTGGCACGGCGGGGTTCCCTGCCCTCTGGGTGGCGGCGCTCGCACATGGCCCCTCTCCACGCCTCCTGTCTGCCCCCATCCAGGTGAGAGGCTGAAGGGCCAGGAGGAGAACCTGGCCTCCGCAGTGGCCACCACCACCGCCTCCGAGCAAGAGCCCTGTGACTCTGACTGAGCCGTGCCCTGTCCCCTCACCCGCTACCAGGCCTGTCTCACAGGAGGATGGTCTTGGGCCGGGGTAGGGGCTGGACTTGCCATCACCTCCAGTTTGCCCTCAGAACTGACTCCCTGCCTCGCAGTCTGAACCCCACCCGTCCCACTGGGGTGAGGTCAGCTCCTTGTCTCCTGAAGCGCCCCCTGCATGCTGAGTCGGGGCAGAGGCTACAACAGCCCTGTGGGCATGCTGTATCTGTGCTTGTTCTATGTATTTTGAACTTCTTTTTCTATCTGGAAATAGAAACACGCTGACCCCTGTGTGTGGCAGAAGACCGTCTGAATACTGGGGATGTTTTGAGTTTGGGCCCCGAGGCAGGGCAGCTGCAGAGGTGATGCTTACTGTGAGGAGGCCCTGTATTGGGCAGAGTGTGTTGAGGTTGGAGGGGTGGGAAGGCCCAGGCCTGACCTTCCGCCATCTAGGTCCTGGCCCAGTCCTTGGTTAGCAGTCATCATCTCAAAGCCCTCGGGTGACAGTTATAGACCTCACGGTAATCTGTGGGACACCTTGGAGAGGTTCTCGCTGTAGTCCTCTGTAGACCCCCTGACAGTGAGAGAGAGAGAGAAGAGACTGGGCCCCTGACAGGGGTGTGCTGCATCCAGGCAAGCCTCAACTCTGGGCTGCCACAGATTCGAGTCTGCGGCACCGTTCATTCATGCCCACTTAGCCCCAGAAAGCCCTCTTCCCCCTTCACCTGTCAGAGCTGGACTCTGGCTTCCCCGGGACAGGGCCGCTTCATGGGGAAGGGTGGCCTGTTCTGCTCACCACTTGGATATTGTAGCCTGGGTGTTGGGAGTGGCCTTGAACCCTGGGCCCCCCGGCTGTAGGACCATGAGCCTCCCATGTGGAGCTTACTGTCCAGAATGACCGGCTGACCACAAGGCTGACTCCAAGTACCTGTGACCATTTACTTCATCTCTAGGATGGTAACACTCTTGAGTTTCCTTCTGGATTTCCTGTTGAACCTCCTGCCCCAGTCATGGGTCACATCCCAGTGTATTCCGCCCTCTAGTTTCCAGAAACACAGTGGCCTGGCTCTGGTGGACGGTGCTGAGGAGTCGGGTGATGGAGGGCAATGAGCATGTGCACACAGACCGCCACACTCAGACAGTAAAGCAGACGCTTGAACGTACAATGGCACAACTCCTCTAAGAAGGTAATTCTCAGGAAAGGAGCAGAAAGTCACAGCTGTAAGTAAGGGCCCAAGTGGTAGGTGGCTGACAAGGCCAGGACTGATTCCACCCACAAGGGACAGGGATCAGACATGCCCCCCAGGTGTCAGGGCTGGAGACAGGCTCCCTCTGCATAGCCAGGGGTCTAGAGCTGTTTCCCTTCCTAGGCATAAAGGATGAAAAGATGCTCACACCTCCTGGGATTGCAGATGGAAGCAGGATGTTTGTCTGTGGCAATGTAGGATTCAGATACCTCAGGTAGGCCCCTGCTTGGCACCCTGTAGGTAGGGAGAAGGAAAAGCAGAAACTACCCATGAGGGGTCCTCAGAAATGACAAAATGCTTGAGAAAATCCAAACAATGCCATAAAGAATGGCCAACAACCCAAGGAATGGGAGAATTTCTGCTGAAAGAAAGTAAAGCAGTCACATCCTGACAGGCTTTGAAATGAGCATTTGTTTCTTCACCAGAGAGATCAAAGAGGGAATGACCCCCCTCACAACTCAAGCACAGGGATTTGTTATAAAAAACAACTGATGAGAAATCTTGAAAATAAAGAATGTTTATTAAAATAAGAAACTCACTGAATGAGTTGAATGATAACTTATAGTCGCAGGAGAGATTAATAAATCAGAATTAAAGCTGCAGATCCAAAAGGTGGCAGAGAGAAATAAGGAATGCTTAGAGAAGCATCACACACGCAGAATGAGTGATCCAAAAGTGAAAGGAGGGGGAATTGTGACCAAGCCTTGGAAGTGATACTCCTCCACAGTCTGTTTGTTAGAAACAAGTCACTCCATCCAGCCCACACTCAGAGGGAGAAGATTTAGATTACACCTCAAGGTGGAATCTTTAAGAATTTGAGGGTGTATTTTAAAACCAGCACATACCTGGACACAGTGTAATAAATTGTCGGAACAAAAAGACCAAGAAATGATCTTAAAATTAGAGAATATATCATCTTGCAAAGAGCAAGCCCACAGCAGATATCTCAACCACAGCCAGCGTTAATGGAATGGTACCTTCTAATATCAGTGTTAACAGACAAAGATAATTGTTGAAAATTCTATACCTGACAAGAACATACCTGACAAGTACAGAATATTTTTAGACAAAACCAGAGATTTTTGACACCAGCAGACTAAAAATCTATTTTGAGGTAATGAAAATACTCTGAAATGGACTGTGGTGGTAGTTGTACAAATCTGTGAATATGCTCCAAGCCTTTGTATTGTACCTTTAAATGGGTGAATTGTATCAGGTATGTATTATATCTCAATAAAGCTGTTTTTTTTTTTAATGAATGTCTTCAGACTGTAAAGCTGAAGATCCCCTTTTTTTTAATGCAAAAAATGCATGTCTTGAGACTGAAGGGCCACAATTCCAAGGTGGAAAATCTGAGATATAAGGAGAAACTAAGAGAAAGAAAATATACATTTAAGTAGGCACTGGCCTTATAAAACAAATAGGTGTTGTGAAGTAAAAAAAGACCTACTTAGAATACATAACAACCATGGTGTGTATGTCCCAAAGTGAAAGGTGACTGGAATTCTAGCCATCAACCAAACTCAGGAAGAGAGAAAAGACTCTGGTATACGGGCAGGCTGACATTTCTAGAATAACCCTAAAAATAAACATAGAATGTGCTTCCTTCCAAAGAAATTGAGAAAAAAATAGAATGAGAAAAATTATCCAAAAGAAGGCAAAGAGGAAAAAAAAGAGGCAAATAAATCCAAATATGTCATATATTACTATTAACTTACTGCTTAAAAAAGAAAACACCTCGGTCTGATGCTGTTTAAAGAGAAACCTAAACCCAGTCTTTCAAGGAGAAAGACTGACCGTGAAGGGACTCTCGGGTAGCTGAAATGATGCCGAACCTGGATTTTCACTACAATGGTTAAGATGGGTAAAGAGGGAAATCCTACAAGCTACAGGAGGAAAACAGAACACAGACAGATTGCCTACTGATGAATGAGTTCCACTTTTCATAAGTAGTAGAAATGGAAAGAAAAATTTTCCTAAGTGCCTAGGAAACATAAATGTCAATTATGTCATAATGCTCGATTATAAATAATAAGGGCAAGATAGACTTCAGGCTGATGACACTGTTTACTATGTACTGAAATTTGCTGAAAGGATACTCCATAGCAGGAGGAGTGGGGTGGGGCCAGGGAGAGACATGGGAATCAGGATGGCATTTAATAGGTGCACCTACAGATCTTAAGGAGAGGTTTGTTCTTGTGTTACATCTAGTGACTCCTTGAGACCGCCAAGGACATGAGTCCCTTCTGGGTCCCCAGCTGCCATCCTTAGCTCCCCTAGGAGCCTCCCCCACCTCCCTCCAGGTTGGGGCTCCAGGCAAGGGGAGGGGAATGGTGGGGGGAGAGAGGGTAAAGGGCAAACCAGCTGAAGAAACATGGCTTCAAGCCCAGTCCCCTATGCTTGCCTTCACGTCTGATCAGCCATCACTGTGTCAAACTCAGTCCTAACTGCAGACATGTGGGAGGAAGGGTATTTTAAGCTAGGCACATTGCCACCATGATTGATGGTGAGGTTCCATGGGAAAGGAAGAAGGGCAGAAAGAGTGCTGGAAAGGCAGCCAGCAGTGCCTGCCACAGGATGCGGGAAGAAGTGGTGAGCAAAGAAACTGGTAAACTGCGCAAAAATCAGTAATCGACTAAAGAAAGACTGACAAAGAAAGAGGAGACATACATTAGGAATATTAGGAAATGAAATAAGGCAATCACTGTAGACCCCATGGACATCAAAAGGACAATAAAGCGATACTGTAAATAATACCCACATAAATTTGACGGGTTGATTTAATGGACCAATTCCTTGAAAAGCACAAACTGCCGCAACTCACCCAAGATGAAAAGATAATTTGCATAGCTCTGTAACTACTAAGGATATTGAATTAATAGTTAATAATTTGAGACCTCTTGAAAAAGAACTCTCCAAGCCCAGGTGATTTTACTGGATAATTGATACACAGGTTTAATGCAATTCACATCAGAATCTCAATAAGATCTTTATACATGGACAAGAATATTCTAAAATGTGTCAGGAAAGTTGCAAGAACTTGAACAGTTTAAACAATATTTAACTAGATGAATGAAGCCCCTAGTGGCTCAGATGGTAAAGAGTCTCCTTGCAATGCAGGAGACCTGGGTTCGATCCCTGGGTGGAGAAGATCCCCTGGAGAAGGGAATGGCAACCCACTCCAATATTCTTGCCTGGAAAATCCCATGGACAGAGGAGCCTGGCGGGCTACAGTCCATGGGGTCGCAAAGAGTCGGACACGAATGAGCGACTAACACTTGCACTTTCATAAAGCAGGAGGAGCCAGTCTCCCCATTTAAAGACTTACTGTACAGCTATGGTAATCAAGATAGTGGTGTTGGTGGGAAGATAGGCACATAGATCAATAGAAGGATACAGAGAACTCAGAAGTAGCTCCACACAGGTACAGCCAACTAATTTTTGGCAAAGGTACAAAATGAGCTCAATGAAGGAAGGATAGTCTTCAGCAGATGATGCTGGACTGATTGGAAATCCATCCATAGGCCCCTCAAAAAGGAACCCTAAACTTCAAACCTTATTACAAAAGTTAAAGTGGATCATGGGAGGAAAGCTTTAGGACCTAGAGCTTGGTGAACAGAGTCCTCAGACGTGAGAAAGCATAATTCATAAAGGAAAAAAAAGGAGCAAATTTGACTTTTGCTCCAACAAAGACCCTGTTAAGAGGATTAAGAGAAAGGCTACAGAGACAATATTTGCAAACCCC